GTTAACCAACTACTGAGTATTTGTTTATACATTTCTTACATTGGATTTAAAATAAAGTTATTTAAAGTAGTGAGCAGGTAGCCCCATAATGAAATGACCTCAGAGAGTGCTTTAATATTCCCCTCAGTCTTCTCAGTAAACACTTTTTCTACTTGGAGGTGAAAAGAAATTGCTTTGAGAAGAAATACTGTCTGCGGTTACACGTCAGGCAGGTCCTTGCCGTCGTGTCTCAGAGTTGACGAGCACTCTCTAGTGGGATTTCAACCCTCTGTATGTCCCTGAAAAGTGGTATGTTGGATCAGATCTCCAGTTACTGTAATTCTTAGTCCTCAGGATGTTTTTTTAGTATGTCTTGGTTTGTTCATTCTGAAGAAAAGGAAAGAGAAACACTGAAGTGGTTTCAGTAAAGGCCTTCCAAATGCTTATGTAATGTTCCCAGTTAACTCAGTTGCCTTATTGTTACCCAGAACAATTTTAGTATTAGAATCTCTCTGCAATTTTGAGAGGTTTTTAAATTATTATTCTTGCTATAACAGTGGAGATACTGGCTCATTGTTCAAATAACTGAGGAACATGGGATAATACCTTCTGTTGGAATGGTGCTCTGTGTAGGATGTCTCTTCAGGATCTGTGGAAGGATGATCAGTCTGAATTACGATGAAGAGACATCGATACAAATCATCAGAAATGCACAGTCACTGAAGAATAGACACTACTTTTCTTTTCACAGATTCGGAGCCCAATATAGCATTATCACAGAATTTAGGTTTTCAAGTCCTGCTAGAGTCATGTTCCCAGTTTATACCCTGTTTGTGAGGACTTTTTCTTGTGAAAATTTAATTTACGTAACTATGTTCTCCGTTATGTGCAGTATTATGCCCGGCTTTCAGGGGAAACTTCTTGATGGTAGAAGTGTGCTCCATGGTACTTGAGTTGAGTCCTGCTCTTCTGGCTTTGATGTTAAACAGTGGTATTTCTTTAACAAGTGCAGAGAAAGGACCTAATTCTTCACTTACACGTGTGTCTCTTCTAAGGCTGCGTGGTTTATAGAGCAGGTGGCAAAAGCTGAAGATGTGCTATTGCCTCTGCCAGATCACAGCCTCAAATGATGATACGACACCAAGATTTTGAGGCAAATCAAGATCTGCATATCTGATCGTTCTCTCTGCTGAAGGTTTTGGCACTCATTGACACAGACTCTTAATTCTCTGAATTGATTCTTTTTTTAATATATTGTTGCCAGTGGTCAAAATTCACCAGGGACTAGTTGCCCCTTCCTTTTGGCGGTGGCCCATGAGTTTTCTACTATTATGCTTGCAGGGTGAAGGCAGAGGCTATTGTCCAACTGCAGGAGTAAAGAACTCCACCTCAGTCAAATTTCCTATCAGGATTTATTCGTGTCAGTCACAGTTAGGGGTTTTTTGAAGGGGGATTTGAACAAGTCACTCTGCCTCTCTCCCCTTCCCTCCGACCCCAACTTCTTTGTGCCCATTTAGAGATGAGATTTATGGTGCTTCCGTCCTGTTGGGCTCTAAATAGACCTTCTTCCCATTTGAAAACAGAGCTAAGAATCTGAAGTATTGATATTAAGATCTTAGGAAAAGCACTTTCTGTGTTGGGAATTTTATGCTTCCGTGCGAAGAGCTGACAGCTGAAACTTGAGCAAGGCCCATCAGACACATTTAACTTCTGCAGATCACATAAAGGCAAGAATCTTTTGGTTTGCTTTGGAGGAACTTACCAACTTGTCACAATTGTTTAATAAACAAGCTTCTCCCTGCTGCAAATGAAGCATATTTTTTTCCCCTGTTCCATAATTTTAATTGTCAGCTAGAATGCTATTTCTCAAACACGCTCTGCTCTCAACCTTGTTAGAATTAAGCATGTAATCCCCTTTTAAAACACCGTACTAAAATCACCATAGTAACATTACGTGCAAGCTTTACAGATAAAACACAACACCAATACGGGATTTTTGGTATCCTCTAGCAGCTCAGTATGGTTTATGGAAACGGATGCTCTGTTGACATTTAGAATTTGGTAGGATGATAGTACTTACGCTGTCTAATTCTCAGACTACTGAAATGCTTTTCAGTATCTGTCTTTCTGTTCATCTGTGAATTTGGAGCACTTTTTCGTCTTCATGACTGCATGTTTTTCCTTCCCTGTTTGGAATCCACGGAAGGATTCTTCTTTCTAAGCTGGATAGTGACATCTTTCCGATCCAGATCCAACTTTTATTTTTGAAAGTCTGTACTTCTCCCCCGCCCCCCCCCCAGCACCGAATGCATAATCTATAACATATATTGCATATATTGTTGTATATTGCATTGTATATGGCATCACAGAAGAGAGTATTTGCTCACTTTTAAGGCTTGTGGCCGTTAGTTCCATGACCTTGAATGGGTTTTGTTGTTGCTGTTGGGAGGACTGACTTGTGAAGATACACGTGTAAATGCTAGTCAGTGTTCTCGGTTCTCAGTAAGCCTAAAATAAACTAGAACATAACCGGAAATAAGTATTAATTCCTTATCATTATGAGGTCTCAAGTAGATCTAAAATTGGAATGAAGAGTCCTCTAATAATTATTAGTCCCAGCTTCACCACTAAATGTCAAAATTTCTGTTAAACAGTAAAACCGCATCTCTGCAAACTGGGAGGTGAACTGAGCTTGGTTTCTATGGAACCTACCATCACCGTACATAAGCATTTGATTAACTTCAGGCACTTGGGGTAATATCTCAAAATGCCTTTACTTTTGTTAATAGCATTCAGAAAGTGCCATACTTTAAATGTAAAGCATCTTATTTTGATCTTACTATTTCAAGCATCAACTATTAGTGGTAAAATACGGATGTGAATTATAGTATTTTTAAAGACGTGAATTTTTAAATGCTGGAGTTTGGGGGTTTTGTTTGTTTGGGTAGTTTGGTTCTTGTTTTTTTCTGTTTGTGTTTTTGTTTTTTGTTTTGGTGGTGGTGGCTGTTGGTTGTGGAGTTTTGTTTTGTTTTCCAAAACTGTGTTTTGCCAATTTGGGCAAATTTTCCTGTAGTGATACTTTCCACTGTGGCGTGAGTGGGAGCCAACATCTAAGAAGGTTGTTAGTTCACTTATGCTGTTCTTGAAGAGACGTTAATATCTTACAGACGAGACAAATGACTCTTAATCTTGAAAAATCATATAAAAGTCCAACAAAATTATTTTTATAGTCATGTCTGGCTTTAGCACAGTGTACTTTTGATTCTAGTTTATCTTTTCTTTCTTTGTACACTATCCTAGTCTTTAATTTAACTGATTGCCTAGGTGCTAGAGTAAAGGAGAGTCACTGGGCGTGCTGAACATTTTGGAATGATGTCTGTGGCATACATGCAAAATTTGTATATGGATAATAAAGCTTCTACAAGTCAATATCCAAGTGTTGAAGAAGCTTAACATGTTATTAAATATTGTCTTGCTCTTGGAGTAAGCCAATTCTCAAATGAAGAGTAATAAATATTTTGGGTTATATGAGAGAACAGAGTTTTTTTTGTACAGTGTGTGCTGCATTGAAGGTGGTTGATAGTCATAACCATTCATTTAAAGACAAACATATTTTTAGTAGCCTCCCACACTTAAAAAATGGAAAAAACCCCAAACCAAACCCAACCAAGAAACCTCCTCCCTCACCAAGCAACTAGCATATTTCTCTTTCTAGAGGGTGTATACTCTCAAAGTTAATTTCTCAAAAAAACTCTGTGGAAAGAGGAAATGTTATAGGTTCAATGACTTAAACTAGATACTTCTGACACAGGGTTAGCTCAGCATTAATTTTTTCCTCTTTACTCTCTTTATTTTCAGCCATGCAGTCAACCAAGTCGGGCAGAACTTTACGTTTGTGCTTACAGACATTGACAGCAAACAGAGGTTTGGATTCTGTCGCTTATCTTCTGGGGCCAAGAGCTGCTTCTGTATCTTAAGGTAGGTCTGTGGTTTGCCTTTTGGCTGACTCTAGGAAACAGTGTTTGACTTTGCTGCGTTACACTGCAATTATCATTTCCAGCTGTTCAAAATTATTTTCCTATCTGGTCCTCAAAGTCACTGCTCTTCTGCAGAATTGAGGCAAAATATCTTGCACTTTGAGTTCCTCTGTAGATAACTGTATTTGTTTGTAGTCAATGTTCTTAACAATGTGGAAAAAAGAATTTTCTTTGCAGTAATTTGATATGACATAGCATGATGGCAGCTGTTATCTTTAGCTGTCACAACTGATCTTGTTAAGGCGTTTTGTGGACATTTGTATATGCAAGTTTTATTAACAAAGCATCTGTTGGTAACTGAGAGAATGTCACTGATGCTCTCCACATCCTAAGAGTTTGTATGTATGAGCTTTACTCTGTCCTATTGAGGGTTTTGTGAAGTTTGTCGTAATAGAGACTATTATTAGAAGATGGAAATGAGGTGTTTCACATAAAATGGGCAAAGAGGCTCTATCAGAGTAGTTTTTGATGACCTCCCACAGACACGTTGTAATACAGTCTGTAATTTCTATTTGCTGCAAGGAGTGATACAAGTAAAATCAGTTTCACTATCTCCCAATATATTAGTTCCATTAAGAACTTCTGTGGATTGAAGATTTCCACATGGCATCCAGCCTGTCTTGTTTTAAACAAATTTAGCAATGGTCTGTCTTCTGCTTTCTGTTTTTCCCATGTTCATGAGAAATTGGATGTTTTGGAGCAACGGCCCAGGTAAAGATAGCTCAGAGTTAACTGTATGAACAGCCAGCTATCGGACCGAACAATCACTCAAGCACTCACAAATGAGGACAATTTCCTCTATAAGCAGTTGTAGACATCTCTCAGTTGTCTCTGGTTTGCTTTTCATGTGAGAGAACGCAGTGTAAGAACAAGAAGAACTTGTCTTCATCCTAAGAGTACTGTGTGTTGCACGACACAGAATGGGGCCTTCTGTACAGATCTTATCGAATATGACCCCTCTGGAGAATTTCAGGGATGACGTTGCAAAATATAAGAGCACCTATTGGGAACAAGGGCCTTCCTTATTTTGCTGGGTTGCGTACAGCGATACCATGGGATATATTTTGGATAGTTCTGTGTATTTAAAATGAATATGTCTGTGCAGTTTGTGCTGGCAGTAGGCTGGTGAAGATACCAAATGTTTGTTGCCGTGTACTTCAGCGTTATACTGACGGTGGTGATCTGCTAACTAGGCCTTCGTTGAAGAAGCTTAATATTTGGAGAAATCATTGTGAAATTAGAAATTAATGGTGTGGGAGGCAGGGTGACAGGTGTCTTCTCAGTATCTTCCTTCGTTCTTTCTTTTCTCTAGTAGACATTTCAACTACTGTTAGCTATGGTGGTGCAGCGATACGGACCGTATACTGAAGACAGGAAGGTATTTCCCTAGCTCTTTCCCGTAGCTGCGGCCTGTATAGGTGGGATGCCGATTCACTCTCACATGGGAAGTGTCTGGTTACATAAGGTGACTTTTCCTGATTAATGACAAACTAAAAGGGAAACACAGTTTAAAAAGAAAATCTGAATGAGGAGTAGTACGAGTCCCTTCTTGATCTCTCCTGGATAAGAGTTCTTTGCTGTCAGCTCCCTTATGTTGAGTGAATGCCAAGAAGAAATGGAGGAGTTGTGTTGTAGTTAAATGCCTTCTGCTTCAACTCATAACCAAAAAAAAAAAAAATTCAGTGTAGTTACAGCAGTGGATGAATCGGGACTCTCAGCTTCATTCCTATTGCTTCTTTCTCCTGTGAACTAATGGGAAAATGGAATTTCATCATTAATGCAAGTGAATGTAAGTTTTAGAGGATAATAAAGAATGTAAATCAGCATTACATGGATTCACTTGCTCTGTTCCCAGGACTGCTGCACCTATTGTCGATGTGAATCTTCTCAGTATGAATTAAAGGATGCTGCATGGTAAATGGATGGGTCAAAACATGCTTAAGAATGTGAGAACGATGTGAAAAAGCAAATGGGAATGAAAAGAATGTTTGTTTGTTTGTTTTTAAATTACAGGGTGGATGGCAGCAAGCTTCCAAGTATGCCTTCCTCTATGCAGTGATAGTGTAAGAATTAATTGATATTGTTTATTATTAGAGATGAAATTCATATGCTTATGTCAGTCAGAGATTTTTATGGGTCTGGCCATGGTAAAACAGTTTGGAGGTGGAAAATCATCACGTGTTTAGATTTGTTATTGAAGAGGAACAGGAGAAAAAGGAAATTCTTTTTGCTTAGCTGGTGCTTTAAAAATTTCTGCAGAGGTCTGGAAGCAAAGTTTAAAGCTGAGACAGTACTCAGAAGGCCAGAAGTCAAGGTCTGGGCTTTGAGTTTTAAAGTGACCCAGAGACTTTTTCATGTGGATGCAAAGTACAGTAAGGCACTTCTTGGAGTTCAGTGGCGGTAAAGTTACCCACATGGATGTAGCTCCTGTGGTCAGCAGAAAGGAGGTTCCATTTTACAGAGTAATTCTCTTGGCTATTTTAACCAGCACTGTTTAGAAATCTGCTTTTAAGATAGTTTTCATAGTTCTGTTCCTGCTGTGGATAGCATCACACAGGTTTATGGAAATCTTTGATTAAGTTTAAAGACTGCATCTTCTAGGTGTTCTGTGATTTTCTTTTAATGTAGAACCACCGAGTGTGTCTCTCGTATTCCATTTCCTTTTTTCTTCACTTGATTTCTGGCCAATCATGAAACTACGATGATCAGATACTGTATGTAACACAGAGTTGTAGAGTGCTCTGTAGCACAGATGACTACTTTCTGCATTTCAGACAGCAGAGGGCGGACAAAAGCACAAAACAAGCGACACAGATGGTCTGGTGGGGTTTTTTGAGGTTCTAAAGAGTGAAGTGAATTAAAAAAACCCCATAAGCTCACGTACCACACATCAAAATCTCCTGGGTAACTCAGAATTCAAGATTACCTTTTTCAATGCAATATGTTACGGAACTTAAAATATGCTCTTTAATTTTGTTTTCCAAATCATGAATGCGTGGTAAGTTGAGAGCTAATGTCCAAGTCATCAAATTCTGAGTTCTAATTTGGTGATTTTAATATCCTAGAAAATCTTCCATGCTCAAAGATGTTTTTTCTTTCTGAGGCTTCATTTAAGGACTTCAGGATTTTGGCTGAAATAAACCAAATCCTATTGGATATGCATTAAGCAGCTGATTTTTTTGTTTGTTTGTTTCTAAAGGTTTGCTTTAATCTGACTTCGCATCAGGTTTGGCATGGGGTTTTGAGGGTGAACGATATAGATAGTGCTGAATTTAGTGACCAGCTGTAGTCTTCTATTTAACAAAAAAAGAAAACGGTGTGGAGACATTCTCAAACTGCTGTCGCTCACTCTTCTGAGACATCATCTGCAGCTCCGTAATCAGGCATGTGCCCCAGTTTTGTTCTGGAATTTGTACGCTCTTGTTTCTCATCTTTTTGAAGTCTTCTATGTATGTAGATAGGTAATTATCTTTCATTAGGGTAAGAGTCTGGAAGGTGACAAAGAAGCTCAGAATTTGTTCTTGATTGCTATTTCCTGCTAATTGGAGTGTGCTGAAAGATGATGTAAACATACTGATCTACTGATACGATCTCAGTGATAAGGAATAAAATAACAGTATAAATTTATCTTTCTGCTTTTGTATGTTCTTAACGCTTATAGATGCTTTCTGATTCTTAAGAATGTTCCATGCTGAGAATAATTTTCATTTCCTCGTTGTTTTGATGTTAGAATTCCTTACTAGCTAATCTTCCCACATTTCTCGCAACTCTAGCTGTTCTACATTCTCCAGAAGCGGTTTGGTGGTTGCAGTGTGGACACTGTCCTTCAGTGGCTCGGCTGTATTTGCCGCTTTGGCTAAGTCCTGTGATCTAGAACTCTTATGAAGCCCAGGCATTGATGGATTTCAGCATTCTTTTGATGGAAAAGTACTGTGTAAACCAATTTGTACTAGTATCAGTAAGTGTACCGAAAGGAGTAGAGTGTTTTCTTTTACAATCTGGTTTCTCAAAGCTTAAGTGGACAAACACTTTTGTACACAGTCTGCTCATAGAGGGACAGAGTTAAAAACCTGATCGCTGACAGTGCTGTAAGCATGATGCTCCCGCTTGTGCTGTTTCTAATGGGCTGAAGGTGGGTGAAGGAAATGACGATAGGGTACATGAAGCTGTGAAGAGACTGCTGAACATACGAAATTCTAAATTCTACAGAGACGTTGAAACATGAAATTCCCCCCCCCCATGAGAGAAAGTTATCAGGATCTTGGATGAAGACATTCTTTAAAAGTGCACATCAATTTTCATTGTAGCTGGGGCTCTTTGTCCTTCTGACACTTTTATATGTTCTCGAGTCTCAGACTCCTGACAGCTTTGTCCTTCTGTGCAATCATGAAGGAAGAAAAAGTTCTGCTTTAGGAATGTAAAAAATGTCGTTAACTCAGTCTGAATACTTTTTTTTGATACCCTTATTGCAGCATGTTTATATAATGCAACTAACAAGTTTAGGTTTTAAAATATTTTTATCTTTTGTCTTCTGAAATACTTCCAGAATTCAATGTAAGGACCCAGTTACTGATGCTTGAAAAATTCTTCAGGTTTTAGACTGATAGGATCCAGTCACTTCTTCAAGTGTCTGTTTATTTTATATTCTGACTATTTAAAATAAATCATGTTTATATATCATACTGCTTTTAAACAAAAAATAGTGGCAATGTTGAATGTATGGTAACCTATCTAAATGTATGAACTGGTTTAAATGTGTAACGGTGTAATGATTTCACGTTACGTAACATAATAAAATGGCGACTTGAGTAGCACTGGTTTTTTTTCTGTAGATGAAAAAATCACATGCACATTCACCAAGTTGACTCTAGCATTAAATGTGTACTTCTCTTATGGCAATGTATATTTGAGTTTAAAAAAGAGATTTAGTAGTTTAACGGA